GCCTGCACTCCTCTTTAAAGCAGTTTCCTTCTTTAAACCCTGTCTAGCAAATAACAGGTGACATGAAGAAACTTTCCTTCAAGTTCAATTTGTGGGACGCAGCATACATTCACATAAAATCTGTGGCTATTGAGATTTTATGGGCATCTGAAGACTGGATTCCCAGAGTCACAAAGATATTATGCAAGATAATCCCAACTTTGTACCCTAATGTCATGATCACCACACATACAGATCATCTGCTGGTGGAGGACAGTATCACATCTTCAGAAAGAGAATGACACAAACAGTTTCTGTCTTTGCTGACAAAACCAGGAGCTGCCTCCTTTAGGCAGACAAGCTTGCAAAATCAGCCACAGAAGTAGAATTCTCCCTACTTGGTCTAAAGACAAGAGGAGGACAGAACACTCATGATGCATGAGATGAACTGCTCTTTCAGAAGTCAGTTCTCCTGCTCAGTGGCCTTTGCTGTGGAGAAGCAGTGGGAACAACTGCATCATTCTGCTGGGAAGCAGCAAAGAAATCCCAGCCTGAGTGAGACACCCATGCGTAGCCCACAACCAAGAAGGGAGTCTGTTACTGGCTAAAAAAAGCATCTTGGAGAAATTGAATCTTTCCCCAGCTCTAATGCTTACTGCACAGAATCAGTGTAGTCAGCAGTTTACAAGTGAAAAAAGTGATCTGTCCGAGCCAGCTAGAGCAGGGGTGGCCTACCCGCAGCTCTGAGCTCCACACGACTCTTTGCTCATAGAAATGTGGCTCTTATTAGGATTACAATACCTCTGGTTTCTCCTGGACATGTCCCAGTTTTCCCGTGTTAAACTGCCGTCCAGCCGGCTTTTTTAAAAAACACAAAAAATGTCTGGGATTCAGGGAGGGGCAGTGGTACCTGCCTTCAAGGGAACAGTCAACTCTTTCAGAGCCACATGCCTAGACAGTTGACGGCCACTCTGCGTACGCACCCCAGGACCTGGAGAGAAAAAGTGCGTGGCTGAGGCAGCAGCTCTGGTGAGACCCAGGGTGTTAATAAAAGAATCTGGTACTGCCTGGCTCTGGGGGAGGGGTGGGTGCATTGGGTTGGAGCAGGAGAGGGCTGGGGGTGCATTAGAGTTATAGATATATAAAAATATATAATATGTAGCTCTTTGCACTACTATCCACAGCTATTTTGGCTCTTAGTCTCTAACTGATTGGCCACCTGAGCTAGAGCATTCACACCAGGGAGTGGGAGAAAATATCAAGACTCTGATCTGACAATTACAGAATAAGACAGGGCTACTCAACTTTGGAAGCCCCGGGAGCCAAAATGATACTGACAGCACATGCCGAGGGCCTCAACTTAAATGTGGTTGCATATATATGCAGATATATATGCAAATAGCTTCTTTCACACTGACGGGCATGAATACACAGATTAAGGAAAGACTATACAACACACAGGCCCCATTTAAATCCGTTCTGCTGATACTAATAAAATGCAATATTGACCCGATTTCCACCCATATGAGAGCACTTTTAATGAGCAATGAAAGTCCAGGAATTTAACTACTAAAACACATATCAACAGAAGACCATTATATTATCAGCTGTGCGGCGGGCTGTCCCTTTAAAACACCACCTCTGCAGTGATTCAAAGGGGCAGCCGTGGAGCCCTGAGTCAGCTGGGGAGTTCCAGCTGATCCCAGGCTCCCCCCAGCATTTCCCTAGAACCCGGGATCAGCTGGGGACTCTTGTGAATTTCAAAGCAGGCACACCACATGCAGCCCAGAGTCAGCGAAACTTCCCGCTGGCCCCAGGCTGTACATAGTGTTCCCCATTCGTCCTTTGAAATGTACAAGAGACCCAATGGGGGCTCTTGTACATTTCAAAAGAGGAATGCAGAAGTGCCTATCGATTAGTCAATTAACTGCATTTTAACATCCTTATAGGTCATCCAAAATGTTTCAGTGTCCTCTTCCTTATGCCTAGCTTATAGAACTGCAAAACAATAGTATTCTATCATCTCTCCTTTAAATGTGGCCCTCAAGACCAAATGTCACTGCTGAAGGTGAAACTGCCTTTACCTCAACTGAAAATGAATTATCAGTCAATGCAAGAACTGACTTCAGGGATTTGACATCTAGAAAATGAGAAGAGTATTCAGTTTTCAGCTCTGGATGTATGCTGGAAAAAAAAAAAATCAGCATGTTCACTCAGCTGTGTCACTTGCGAGTTGAGTGAGTTAAGTCTCTTTCATGAAGCACATCTGCAAAAAGGGCCAGTTTTGTTTCAAAACGCAGAAACCTCACATCAGAGAAGGCAGGGGTTTTTTTTTGCCTTGAAGTTTAAGATTGAGTGCATTTAAGTGGCGTGTCATATCAAGGAGAAAAA